GAATTGATGAGGGGTAGAGAGGAAAGGAGGGCGGGGGGACGCTAGCATATCAGTTGGCTCTCTTGTTCAAACACTTCCCAGTCAATTTTTGAATGTGTGGCTAATGACATGCTACTGAATCATACATTCATTCATTCATTCAACAAACACTTAGGAGGCACTAGTGTTGTTCCATGTTTCATGCTCTCAAGGTATCCTAGAGGGAGAAAGACAAACTGACATTCACATGATAGCAATGGAGGTCAGTGCAAAATGCCACCAAGTATGGAAGCATAGACATGGGAGAGATATGTCTGTAGGAGGGTGGGACCCGGGAATGGCTTCACCAAAGAGGTGACATTTGAGCTGGGTCTTGTGGATAAAGTAGGAGTTTGCCAAGTGACTGAGCAAGTTGGGCCCTCCAGGCCAAGGTAGGACAGAGCCTGGAATGGCTGAGGAGCAGCTGGTGTGGTGATGTTTCAGGGAGTCCAGGAGACTGGAGAGAATGCAGTTGCCTTGAAAGTCACAGGCACCTGTCAAAGGGACAGACAATGATGAGGACTTAGAACAATTTAAGACCAAAACTAAAAACCCTGGCTCAAGTAGGAGCAGAGTAAGAGCTGGGGAATCCCACCAAAGATGAGAGGAGGGGCTCTGGGTCAGCCCCTCCAGGGCATGACGGTGGAGGCACAGACGGTGAAGGGGAGCTGAAGACTCATTTCTGCGTCCTGCTGTCCCCCCAGCTTGGCTCCGTTGGGAGGTTTGCTTTATGATCGGGAGTCAGCAAGTGATTGGCGGCTCCCATGGTGTGTGTGACATCAATTGACAGTCTCATGTCTTAAAAAGATGATCCAAACTCAACTTTGAAGTGACAGGATGAACTTTTTTTGATACTGAGTTTATTGACTAAAACAAAAATTAAATAGCAAAGCAAGTTCTTTCATCTGGGAATTAAATGTTAAGAGGGGACCCCACCGACCACCCTTGCTGGTCTCAAGCCCAGGCTGGCTCTGCTTCCTGGGGAAGATCTTTATCTTTCCTCACAGTCCAGTCGCCCAGTCCGAGTCAGAGTGGAGAGGCTGGAATCGAGGGATGGACAGACCTGGGAGTTGGGGGTGGGGGTGGGGTGTGGGGATGCCAACCCACGACT